TTTAGCTAATTTTGTGTGAATTGACAAGGATACCTTGCAAATAGCCGTCACTATGATGGAAATTTTAAGACATAAGACTACGATATATAAAGGCGTGTGTTTTAGAAATAGAAATGTTTAATGAATTTTTAGCATGTTAGATGCTAATCACGTGAAAAAAGGAGCATTGACTGTCAAATGATTTGTCATAAATGTAGCAAAATGTAAACAAAATGGTATGTAGTGCAAAAAGGCAATCAATAAAAGATATATTATATCACTATTCAACAATGTCTTAAACAATTTGATGTAATCTGAAATATTAATAAGTTTAGAATGATTTATTTTGATGAATAACAGTGGAAGTTGTAAGGTTTGCTAGTATCATGCAAAATTCATTAGACATATTTTTGAAAAAAAAATTGAGGTAATTTTCTCGTAGAAATAAGTTTGAGAAAAATGAAATTGGTCTTTGTTTAAACATTACAGTAAATGCTGACAGTGAACATTTTAATATGAAAGCCAAAAGTTTGTTGATTAATTAATCTATGTTTCAATTTCATAAGTGTAAGTATAACATTTTTTTCAACAAAAGTATGATATATACATGTATTATATAAACACGTAGTTCAAAGACTGATAAAAAGAAAGAACACTACTTATTTGAAAACCCAATGTAAAAATATTTCAGATTAAGTCTAGGTTTAAAGGTAAGAAAAGTTTCTGTTAAAACAGATTGAGCACTACTGCATCACTATTTCACGTTTGTATTAAGCTTCCAAATGAGACCGACAACAAGTCTCTAGCCCTTCAAAAAACATCTATCGGAAAAAAAACGCATTTGTGCTAAAGATTCCTGGTAGACAAAATTGCGGCACAACGATTCGTAGACTTATACGTGTTAGTCAGCCTAGTACTGATCAAAACCACTTGAATTTACTAATATTACTAAATACATAAGTGGGACCACACACAACTTTCAGTAGCATCTGATACACGCGAGATTCGAGTTTCAAACCTCTCCGCGATCTTTCGATTACTTTCCACGCCATTGTAAACCAGATCAGCTGTTTGGTATTTTTTAACGATTCTTCTGATTGGCCAATAGTAAACGAAACCACAACGTTTCGCACAAGAATGCCTGGTTCGTTGCTCGTAAGTATTTATTTGACAATTAATCGAAAGACCGTTGAGAGGGTTGAAACTCGAATTTCGAGTTCGAATTTGTGAAATCTGGAAAAAAGAGTGATTCCTCAGAAACATTAATCACAACAAAAATACATGAAAAATTTCAGACTTGGTTTGATTGAGTTTGTGTATGAAGGATAATGAAATACTGGAACATCCCTCACGCCCCCTAGCACCGACCTCAGCCAATTTTCAAGACATAAAGACATAAATGTGCTGGAGTCTACGATTACGAAGAACCAGAAAAGCAAGAACCGGTTGAACCGGGTGATGCTCCCCGAGAAGGTTCTGGACACAGGAAAGTATAAAAAAATGAACAAAGGGCAAAACTCCAAAATTAGGCAAAGCGGAGTTATGTTTTTTTGCACTGCACTTCTATTCAATGAGATCTATCTATCTATAAAGTTTCCTGATGATATCAGAATTATGTCCCAGGTAAAAGTCAAAGTGTAAAAATGAACAAAGGGCAATAACTCCAAAATTAGACCAGGCTTTGTTTAGGTTCTTTAAGCATTGCAATTCTATCCAATTATATCTAGCTACCTACAAAGTTTCATGTTGATATCTCTAATAGTTTTAAAGTATTGTCCAGGACAAAAGTCAAAAAGTAAAAATAAACAAAGGGCAAATACTTCAAAATAAGGCAAGGCAGAGTAATGATTCTTAAGCACTGCACTTCCACCCAATGAGACCTATCTATCTACAAAGTTTCATGTTGATATCTCTTATAATTTTAGAGTAATGTCCCAGACAAAGTCAAAGTGTCAAAATGAACAAAGGGCAATAACTCCAAAAGTAGGCAAGGCAGAGTTACCGTTCTTGTGCACTGCACACCTACTCAATGAGATCTATCTACCTACAAAGTTTCATGTTGATACCTCTTATACTTTTAGAGTTATGTCCCGGACAAAGTTCAAAGTGTAAAATAAACAAAGGGGGATAATTCAAAAATAAGGCAAGGCAGAGTTACGGTTCTTGTGCACTGCACACCTACTCAATGAGATCTATCTAACTACAAAGTTTCATGTTGATACCTCTTATACTTTTAGAGTTATGTCCCGGACAAAGTTCAAAGTGTAAAATAAACAAAGGGGGATAAATCAAAAATAAGACAAGTCAGAGTTACCGTTCTTGTGCACTGCACACTTTCTCAATGAGATCTATCTACCTACAAAGTTTCATGTTGATACCTCTTATACTTTTAGAGTTATGTTCCGGACAAAGTTCAAAGTGTAAAATAAACAAAGGGGGATAATTCAAAAATTAGGCAAGGCAGAGTTATGGTTCTTGTGCACTGCACACCTACTCACTGAGATCTATCTACCTACAAAGTTTCATGTTGATACCTCTTATACTTTTAGAGTTATGTCCCGGACAAAGTTCAAAGTGTAAAAATAAACAAAGGGGAATAATTCAAAAATTAGGCAAGGCAGAGTTACGGTTCTTGTGCACTGCACACCTACTCACTGAGATCTATCTACCTACAAAGTTTCATGTTGATACCTCTTGTTGTTTCAAAGTTATGTCCCGGACAAGAAAAGGGGACGGACGGACGGACGGACGGACGGAAAGACGGACGGACGGACGGACGGACGGACAAGGCGGCGACTATATGCTCCCCCGAAATTTTTTCGGGGAGCATAATAAAATATAAAAACACTGAAGTGATAGGGCAACTTTTTACAGCTGCCACTTAAAACAATCTGGGGAAAGAGTGATCACTTGGAAGAATTATAACAAGCTAATTTTAACCTCCCTGCAGTAATCAGTAATTTTAAGATTTCCGTCATTATTGCAACAAGCTGTCATCACTGGCGCAGTTATTACGGTGTGTCTTCTTCGTGCAGAGTATTTGAAGTAGAATTCCAATTAAATCAATGAAACAAAACAAAAAAAAAGGGAAAATACAAAACAAGAAAAGAAAACTAAAGTAATTCAACTCCGGATATATTATTTGTCTTGATTAAAAAACCTTTCACTGCCATAGGGACGGCTTATGCCGTCCCTGTTATTTTCGGCATATTTGCCATATGGACGGCTTTAGCCGTTTCTATAATAATAATGATAATAATGATAAATTAAAAATAATAATAATAACAATAATAATAAATATAAAGAAAATTATACCGTCGACAATAATTATTATTATACTATCATATTTGGAAACATATATAATTATTATAATACTAATAACAAATAATGATAATTATATTAATTAATAATATAGTAATTTCTTAGAAAACTCTCTGGCAAATAGGTGATCAATAAAACAATAACCCCCTGGCAGCGAAAGGGTTAAGCATAATGAGAGATTGATAAAAGATCAACTACAATGCTCATATCTTTACCAGGACAGTCATATGTTTATAAATAAACTTTGCTGAAAAACTGGTGCACAATTTATGTTATCAACTTTGATCTTATTAAACGTTTGTTTTGATGAAATTGGCATTTTTCCAAATATGGAGACAAATTTAATGTTTCTCTGGTTTAGATTATGGCACACTATACAACTGAAGGCATTGCTACATAATGGAAATGAATTTATTCAATTGTATAAGTATAAGGGTTAGTTTATGACTGCCTTTAATAGAGAACAATATTCAAAAGATATCAATTATATTTACAGCTTGTTTTACACTAGATCATGTCTGTTGTACGACATGAACAAAACACATTTGTTTCACTTGAGGAGTTAATATCAATTTATTTGATTGTACATTACGTTTTTCATAAAATGTTCGTTCCTGAAAATTTTCTCTTCTTTCCCAATTAAATTACTGGTATTTGTAAGCATGCGTGTATTGTTCACCGCTCGTACTTTAATCTCTGATCTATTACATCTTGTTTTGTGAGGCAAATAGATTTAAATCGTCCGCATTTTGAGTTATTTTATGATATTTTGAATTTCTGTACTTTAAATTTTCCAATAGCACTATTTGTAACAACAAGAAAGGATTTATCATGTGAGACACATACTCTATACGGCAATTCCATATCTATCTTGTGTGATGACAAGATCTGACCGGTTTGTGATATCTGTACAATAGAGTTTGTTCCATTACTACAAACCAGGATAGTATCAGAGGGACCAACTGCTGCACCACGTGGTCCCTGTATCTGATCATCCTTCACAACTACTCTCGTGTTTGTCTTGATATCATATATGTACACACCATGTTCGTATCTATTTGTAAGCACAAGTGTGTCACTGTTCTTATTATATGTACAAGCACCATAATATGCATGATATGCTTTATTAGGAAAGCTAACACTGAAATCATTCTCATTTCCTGTCAATGACACAATGCGTGCATGTCTTTTGTCATCAATAGCCTGCACGACAAATTGATCATCATCTTTTAAACATATAGAGTCATATTTCGTTTTCACTTTACAAGTTTTGTCGGGTGTAATTTCATTACATTTACTAATATGTAGAAATTCTATTATGTAGCTACTACCACTTGTTATAACAACGTCTTCCTTTGATACAGCTGCTATAGAGTGTGGCGTGTATGATAACTGATATGATCCTACTTTCTCAAGTTTCTCATTATACACCAAGCATTTCCTGTTGTAAGTATCAACAGCAACCAGTCTTCCATCGGGTAGAAGGTCTATTCCTGTATAGAACGGTTCATTTTTGTCATCTCCTGTCTTCTTCAAATCAATAGAAGAAACAGAAGTTAATGTAAGTGGCCTATTAACATAATGATCTTCAAATGCGAGTTGTCCCGGAACGTATTCAGAAATTGGAAATGGTGGAAACTTTAATGTTTTGTCAAAATGGAAAGACATGCTGACCGTCTCTATGTATTGAAATACCCCATTCACGTGTCTGTATAGAGTAGTGGCATCATCTCCATTTTCTTTTCTACAATAAATTGTTGTGCTAAACTTCCATGTCTATAAACGCTATTAATTATTTCCAAACGCGTTGTTGTATCAGATAAATAATTCTCTGTTTGCGATTGTTTTATTGTACGTTTTTTAAGTGTTTCTTCGTGAAAAGATTTTACTCTTTTAATGATGACAACTTCCAAATCGTCAAACATTCGAATTACTTTATCTCGCACATGATTAATTGTTTCTGGAATTCTATACACGTCCTGCTCCAATTTCTCATTTGAAGACATTACATGTTTAATAATGTCCTCAGCTTTTTCTTTGGTAGCCTGCAATTTTTCTTTTACCAATGAATTTGGAGACTTCAAATTCCCAGCAAGCTTCTGAACTTCTACAACGCTGTCACATTTACGATGGTCAACTATAGCGCAGGTACTACAACAAAGCCGATTCTCATCTTCACAGAAGAATTTTATAATCTTATTATGTTGATTACATCGGTCTAATCCTTTCATATCAAACGAGTTTTGTTTCGTGACAGTTTCATTCGCGTTCACTAATTTGTGAGTTCTGAGAATAGCAAGTACGGTGTGTACATTTGAACATTCAGTACACTGGAATTCATTGCAAGTTGAACAAAACTTATCAGCTACATTTTGCTTATCCTTATTTAAACATGGTTGACACAAAACGTCCTTGACACGTCCAGAAACTTTATCGTCCTCTTCTTGTGTACCCCCACTTTCCGCCATTTTGTTTATCGACGTTTGTGTCCCTGTTTTAAATTTAAGATTTATATCATCATTCAGCGGAACGTATCAAAGGCTGAAACACGCTTAAACACTTCAATGAATCAAAAACCAACATTTAAACTGATTTTAAAAGTAATTTATTCATGTTATATGGGTATATATCCTTATGTTATCTGTCGTATATTTACAGTTCGTTGTTACAATCAATACTTGGAACGCGGAAGTTTAATTTATACAAATTCTATGAATAACACTAAACGAAATATACATGTAGTATATTCGGATGAGTACGGAGAAGTATGGAACATAAAATTGAAACATGTTCGTAATAAGAATATCATATTTGTTTACTTTTATTTTTTCGTTAACATTAATAAACACAATGATAAATTTGCAAGGATAAACACGAGTAAAATCTGATTAATATAAGTTTATTAATTTTACAATCCTTAAAAAAGATACTTGACCGAAGAAAATATGCTTTTACTTAATTGCAAAACTTATTTCGGATTTTTGTATTCATGAAGAATTGTTAGCAGTGCCTTTTAATGATGTAAAATGGCGATAATAAATTTCAGAAGTTCTGACTGCAAACAGTTTCACAGGTCTAAAAGTAAGACTAGTCCAAAACACAGTAATACAAGATGATGTATTGTACTATTTTGTGTATGGAAAATGTCTTCCCTCTTTGACAAAGAAGCGGCATTTCGATCAAGAACAAAAAATTCCTCGGAATCTAGCTTTGGATGTTAAAATAGAAATATTTTGACTATCAGACTGCTCTTAATCACACGAGACAATTACTCTTCGGCCAAAGTTTTCATGAGTCAAATCAGTTTTTCATAGATGCATGATTCTCAATGGTCATCGGTTTTTTGTTATATTTTTATTCTCTGGTGAGCAAATGATTACCAACTTAAAATAAAATGAATAAAAAGAGTTTACTATTAGTCATATAGGCTGTTTATTTCACAAACATCCTTCTTTAAATTTCAATGTTTCTTAAAAAATAGCAAGCTTACATTATGTATTGTTTTCTTCTAATTTTTCCAGATTTACGAAAGTTTGTGTATTCCAAAACTTTAATTTGAAATACATGTATGTATATCATAGTAAACAGCATTTCCGTTTCTACATAATTTGTGAGTAAAGTGACAGGTATTCAAATAAAGCATGGCTTTTGGCTCCCGTGATATTATGGTCAAACACAGATTCTTACATGCTTCACATTAGTTCCTTATCAAACAGATATGGCAATTGAGATATACCTGTCCTAGAACTCCCACCATTCCTGTTTATGTCACGAAGTCTTGTCAAATGTTCGTTGAGAAAGAAAGAAAGAAAGCATTTTCATACTTTGAAACATCAAACTGCATTTTAAGTATCTGTCAAATTTCTTCAACATATAAAGCTTGAATTGTTAAAAGATATAGTATATCAATGTAGCACCATGAAAATGCTTAGGGTAACAAATCATGAAAAAACGAATGCTTACACGTCTGATATGACCAAATAAACCAAATGACGTCAGAATTTTTTTCCTACGCTCAGAGTTATTCGATATATTTTTATCAATTATCTTTTTATAAGCATGTTAAAATGGAAAATATATATTTTTTCGCATTATAGTATAATAATGCACTGTTTATCGTTCAAATGTTTTGCAATCAATCACTCAGAGCTATTGACCTTCGTGATCATATTCCAGCGCATTTACACTATTCTGCAACAAATAAAGTGATTAAATAAAGTGACTTGTTGGCAAACAGAATATCAATGTTACACCAACAAGGAAAAGGATATATTAATATCATGATATTTAATCTCTGTTATTACACATATTAGGATTTTAAGATAATCACATATATGTTACTAGCTCTATGAACGTACTTTTATATAAACAAATTGATTACTGATATGGAATTTAATCATTTAAGCCATGTGCGAATAAAAATCACATGATTTATTGCCTTTAATTATGAACCTAATTATAAAAATGAAACTGACTGAATGAACATTTGTAAGTAAATCATAATCATTGAATGTTCATTTAAATCTTTCAAAATATCTTAATAATAATGTTTTAATTTGTGAGAGGAAATACAGAAACAATAACATTAAACATACTTTCTTGGTTAAAGTGAAACGTTAAAGTGATTCTCAGATGTACACATTAGCAGTGAATTAATGACATATGATTTGTTTACAAATAGTACTATTCATCCAAGATAATCTGTTTGGGCGGAAAGTATTGTGTAACAATACAACTATATAAACAATAATGGTTTATTTTATCTAATTAAGTTAGTCCCTACATGAACAATTTATGATATAGATAATTATAAAAATCACTGTATTCCACAAAACTTTCTAAACAGTTTTGTTTGTTTCACTATTTGACACTACAGTATATCCTGAATGATCTGTAGAAATGCTTTATCCTCAATTAGATAACGTGTCTTCTTGAACCAGGAATCGTTTATAACATAAACTTTGTTGTTTTTATTTCATTTCTATATAATATAATCGGATATAAATCTGTTCAGGCATTATTCATCTTTTCCTATTTTCTTTATTCATAAAAAGTTGTAGTTATCAAAAATATACCACCACAAACTCAGATACTTGATTTACTATACCTATATTTTCATGCATTTTTGACTTAAAAAATATTGTTTGTTTTTTTCCAAGATATTTAGGGTTATTGCGTTTATAAATTCATAAAAGTTAAAATTTTTACACCATAAATTAAACAATCGCGCTCGCTATTTTTTACAAGTATTCATTTTGATTTCTTTGTAGCAAAAAGAGCAATTGCAATGCAGATTGTTACTACCAACTCTTCTCGTAATACGCTTATCAAATGTTGAGGGACGACGAAGATCCTGGAGAAGCTTTTGCTGCTTTTTCAAGAGATGTCGTCAGCCGACTTACTCTTGTGTTCAGATCGGAAGTAGATGTCGCTGTCGTAGAAATCATGCGCTTCTAATGCAAACACATAGAGGAAATAAAAGGGAGGACATTTTGCATAACATTCGTGTATAAGATGGCGTCTTTGGATTAACTACATCTTAGTAATAGTGATATCAAAATATGATGAACATTTTAACGATTTATACTGTTATTCAGAAATAGTGTATCTCTACGTATATTTTTTCATTTTCATGGTAACTAACTTAAAGAATGTTTTTATTTTGTGTGCCGTTTGTACATAATTAGCCTTGGAAATCTGTATACATAATTTTTTTTCATTCATGAAGATTTACCTTATGAATTTGTTGGATGTACATCGTTTTGTGTACTTTTAGTCACATAGGCTTGCTACTGGCGGGATATAACGAAGAATATAACCAAAATGACATCTAATTCACCCCGAGGTGATATCGGAGGCGTTTTTTTACTGGATAAGCCTAATTACTCTTTAATAGAAGAAATAATTAAAATACCTGAACAGGACTTAGTTACTCTCAGTTACAACTAATTAGGAAAAATGGGTCTAATTTTTAATAAAGAGTTTGAAAAGCACCATGAGAAAGATCTCCATAAAACAAAACAGCATGCGATGGTGAAACGTTGCGGTATTGTTATTGCGACTTTTCACTTCGTGCTTACGATTTATTATTATCAGCCATCAACTTTTCACCATCGTGTTTCGTTATGTTGGCCTTTCAACATCGTTATTAAGTGTTTTCATTGTTCCAAGTTATGAATGTGCTGTGCTTGCCCTAACGGAACACTGTAAAAACTATCATTTGCACGGTTTTTGTATTTTCTGATCGTAAGATCAGTAAATACATAGCTAACATCCACGGTCTAACACAAAATTTCCTAACAGTCCTAACAACGCAAAGTAGTTCTCACTCAAAACTGCTTAAAAACCAGCAATTTAAAAGAAAGAATAATTTTTAATGTAGGCATTTAACGAATTACAGTGCATTAAAAGTTTAGATTAGTCAATAGAAATATGAGGTTACAATCACAAATTTCGCGGATGAATATCTTTTTTACCCAATGAAAAAATGTTCGCTATTTCCGTAAAGCTTCGGATTATCATGAATATCATTTTAATCAATGAAAATGCTATTTTAGCTATGTCGATAAATGAATACTCCAGAGCGTAGTACACAAAATAAATCTGACTGCCGAGTAGTGGAATATATACATGTCGGACTGTTTTGGCGAGAATATTTTCGCTAAATTATTTTCATCAGTGTTAAACAACAGGTTTATCGTGAACAAAATACCTCGAAATTAGTAAGGATTGCAAACACGAAATGGAAATTCTCAATTTAGAATTACATAATGTATTCGTTTTTATTCAAGGTACATATGTATTACTTCGCCGTGGTGCAGAGATAAGCGGTCTCGTTGAGGGTGTGAGAGGCCTATGGTTCAAATCCTAATCCGGGGCAATTCTATTTTTTTTTCATGCAAAATTCTATATGTATCAATCTCAAACTGTTATAGAAGAAAATCAAAACGCTGTCGCTGCGTAAGATGAATTATAGTATATAAAAATAAACTTATATAGGAAAGTACATACAGATAGTCAGTATGATTTAGATTGCAAAGATCAGAAAATACCATAGAGCTGCAGCCCTTTGATTACTGAAGGTGCCATTTTTATCAAAACGTCTGATGAAATGGGAAATACATAGTTATGCATTCATCCATTGTTGATAAAGATGTACAATGCGCATGTCCACCGGAATTTAAGGCGATGGCACGATGGTGAAAACGCGATGGTACGATGGTGAAATCGCGATGGCACGATGGTGAAAACGCGATGGCACGATGGTGAAAGCGCGATGGTACGATGGTGAAATCGTGATGGCACGATGGTGAAAACGCGATGGTACGATGGTGAAATCGCGATGGCACGATGGTGAAAACGCGATGGTACGATGGTGAAATCGCGATAACGCGATGGTGCGATGGTACGATGGTGAAAACGCGATGGTACGATGGTGAAATCACGATGGTACGATGGTGAAAACGCG